AAATTAAGGATATATACACTTAATCTCAGTGATTTTTACTTATTTCTAGATTATTTTTCCAGTGCTGAGCCTCATGTATGTTCCCTGGTTTTAGCCATGGAGAAAACTCTTGGCTGGAGACAATTTTCGTTACATTTACACTTGCTCATATTTTCCAGACAAAAAGTTAACGGCGCATCTCCCAAATGTCCCGGCCACAACAACGCTTTTATTGGTTCCCCTATTGGGACGGAAGCAATAATGGCGAGCTGTTATTTTTATTAAATAAAAAAAAAATTGTCAATTTGAATGTTTTATTTAGGTTACAAAAAGAAATCGTAATAAATATAATCCTATTTATGATGTTTTAAAAATTAAGACCTACGAAAGACTGATTTAAGACATTTTAATACCAATTAAGGCCTTAGTTTTATTTTGAAGAATTCAATGCCTTTTAAGACTTTTTAAGGAGCCGCAGGAACCCTGTAAAAAGAAGCTTAAATGGAAAGTTTAAAAACACTTCACATCTAAAACCATCTGTACTGGTTTCAATCATAAATTCCCAATACAAACACATTAATGGTTGATTTTTATTCATCTGTCAGATTGTATCTAAAACCACCAATGTTCTCACCAACACTCGCAGGGAGGAGGATCTGATGTGGCGGTTGATCTCTTCGACCCACTGGTGGCAGATGGAGCTAGGGGAAATGATGAGTGTGGCTCCAGTGGATACTGGTTTCATAGCTACCAGGCAGTGAGGACAGTAAAAGGGGGTCGTCGTAAGACTTTCCTCTTTATAGTTGACACAGTCTGCATGTTGCCACAGCTGACAGTTCATACACTGCACGCGGGCCTTGTAATCAATGACGCCCAGCTCTCCACAGATGCACTCAAAGCGGTAATCCAGGGTGTTGAACGGGACCACTGATGCTCTGGTGGGAGTTTCTGTTTCATCCTGAGAATCCGTCTGAGAGGCTTCTCCTCTTTCTTCGAGCGGCTCGTTGATTCTGGGAATGTCCTCACCTTTCTCCTGGGGTATCTTCACAGATGCTGCGGTAGTATCCATCGATTCATCCTCCTGATCAGTCCGCTCGTTCAAACGTTCATCCCACTGTTTCCCTTCTTTTCCTTCTGTCTCACACCAGTCAGACGCAGGACTCAGATCTCTTTGATCATCTGACAGGGAGTTTTGCAGAGCTGCCTCTGCCTTCTCTTTTGCTCGTCTCTGGAACATTTTCCTAGGCGTGCTCTCTGCCGCTTTGAAAATCTAACAGAAAAACACAGATTAAAGCCACAAATCAAACACAATCATTAATCAGCATCTTTTCTTTCTTTTTTTCAAACAGTTATGGACTCTTACAGACTTGGGTGCTCCAGACAGGATCTTTTTTGTTTCTTTGTAGTTTTTTCCCAACTTGAAGGACCCCGCCAAGCCTCTACCCTTGACCCGGTCGACCATGCCCTCATTTATTAGCTTCGCCAGCGTCTTCTTGATGTGATTGCGGTTCTTCAGGAGGTCAAAGCCGTATGTTGCCCGGATGTAGGTGAAAACAGCATTGACCGAGGCTCCTTTGCCGGTTCGCATTTCCTTTATCGCATTTAGCAACATCACACGCACCGCTGAGGAGAAAAACATTTCGATTACTATGAAACGAACTTTAAACACTTTAAAGAGTCCAAGATAAATGCAGGTGATGTACTTGGGTGGGAGGTTTTTATTTTGGGCTGAGCTTCAGACTTGCAGCGGGTAACTTTCTCTTCTAAAGGACGAGGAGGAACGAAGTAATTCACAGATTTTCCCTATAAATGGAAGAAGGTGACACATTTAGAAAAAAACTACTTTTCAAGCATGAAATAAAAAAAAAGAAACTAGTAAACAACAGAGCCGCACCACAGGCAACGTGAAGGCCTCCTGCTCCAGATTCTGTCGCGTATGAAAAAGGATAAGCGCCAAAACCTCCACTGTTTTCCCGAGGCCCATCTCATCAGCAAGGATCCCACCAGGCCACTCAATACCAGCGAGAGGGAACTCTCGAATTAAGCTAAATTCACAGAAAAAATAGAAAATATTGATCATTAGAAATTATCATAAAAAAGAAGCTATAGAATGGAGGAAACAATTAGAACTGCAAGGTGCAAAGGAAGGGGTCCGAGTCTGTCCCTCCCCATACCTCCCACACACTCACAGTAGGCCAAAATTATTATGCTGTGCCATATGGTATGATCATGGTTCTTGGACATTGAGAACCAGTGTACATATTTCATCTTGACATGATGACCAGAGAATAGGATGCAATTTTCAGTCTGCTGGAGGTTTCTTCCTGTTAAAAGGGAGTTTTTCCTCTCCACTGTCAATACAAGCATGCTTAGTATGAGGGATTGCTGAAGAGTCAATGAGTCGATGCAATCAACTGGTTTTCCTTAGATAGAAAACTTTGAATCAATTTGACTGGATGATCTGGTTGAACTGGAAAGTGCCTTGAGATGACATGTGTTGTGAATTGGCGCTATAGAAATAAACTGAATAGAATTGAATTTTGGCTCATTAACAGCCGTAAGACCTCTGCAAGTCATGATGGTGACTTTTCAGAACCGAACTGCTGTAAAGCAGACTTTTTGCAACACATTTCTGAGATTTTGAGATTCAGAACAAACAGATCCAGACTGTAGGACAAAGTCTCCTAAGGATCCTTTGGGGTGAGCCATATGGACAAGAAAGCCTGCCTTGCTGTTAGCCTGCCTGCTAAGCTGCATGAAAACTCAAGCCTTCCAAATGGACATGGACAAAAGGTTTGCAGGTCTGGCACAATTAGGGACAGAACAAACAATATGTCTTTTGATGATTTTGGTCTTTTTAATGTGTTTACTGATGAGTAAAGACAAAGCTAACAGGATGGACTGCATGCCGTGCAATGCTATAGTAACATGTGTTGAGCTGTTGTTGAAGCTTGGACAAGCTTTATTTCACTAAGAGTTTAAACACTGATATAACATTAGTGTTCATGTGTTCCTCAGATGCTCATTTCCATTACCAAGTATGACCAAGAGTCGCTGCTAGCTATTTCAAAGAATCATTTGACTAAAGGTTATTGGTTCTTAATTAAGCAAATCATTTAATAAAACATTTTTAGCCAAATAATGTTTTATTCACTTCATGGATTTGCATTGTGAATTGGTCTGAAAACATTCCAA